ATTCCTGAAACTATTCACCCGTTATTGTTTTCTTCCAAGAAACTGCTTTAGGCATCAAACTCATTGTATCAGAACTAGCATGACTTAAAGTCAGGTGGCTTGAGCACCTTTTCTTCTCTGAGAGCTACTTTAGAAGACAGTTGTGTGATGTTTTCAGGGAAAATGTCCTTGAAGCAAGGCCTGGCATTCATGTACTCCTCTCACAAGTGTTCTGGCCTTCCAAATGCTCTTGATCTCTTTTTTTGTCTGACCCAAATGCCAGGTGAGCCTGTGTAGCAAGCAAAGCAACCTAACTTTGAAAAGAGCAGGTAGAAGCCTCACATCTCAGCTCTGATGGCATAAATGTTTAATGCTGATCTCTGTAATTAAATCAATCTTGAGAAGATCCCCTATTAAGGAATGTGGAATATGTTACCCAAGGAGGAACGCAGTATTGCAACCATTACTTGTAATAGAAATAGCATAAGGCTTTGTTTCTTCCAAACCTAGTATTGCTGTGGTCTGGGTACATTTCAGACCAGTATTTTGATGTATTGTAGGACTGAAGTTTCTCTTTTCAAAAGTTTTAACTGCCACAGAAAAAAAAAAAGCAAGAAAAATGGAAAGTGGAAGAGACATTTTTACATCTTACTATGGAAGTTTTGAAATTTTTTTTAATAACTCCATGACCTGTCAAAATGACTTGTGGAGCCAGACTGACAATTCTTTGAAAAATTCAGTTTGAATGCCTCTGTCACAGTCATAGGAAAGGGAGAGGGAGCAGCAGCACAGTGGAGAAAGCAAGAGAAAAGAAGATGAAAGAAATTGTAGGCGTGACAACTGCTGGGAGATCCTGGTTGCCCGTAGCTACCCTCACACACCCCCATCCTTGAGTAACAGTGCCCAGCCTAGCTTTCTGGACCACTGACACAGGTGAGTTTTGCTATGCTGTTGCAGCTGCAGTGGGCTGTTCCAGTGCCTAGGATGGGTCTGCCACCCTGTAGTTTTATAAGCAGAAGCTGCTTTCTTTATCAGGCTATTGCTCACTGCTGGCCAATACTGACCAATACCTCAGGTATGGCTACATTGTGTAAAGCTTGAGTAAAGCTATATTCGAAGCACTTGGCGATTAAAAGTGTTGTGTTAAGTACAAAGTGCTACTGAGAGGGATGTTATTTTGAAAGTCCATTAAATGCTGCAATGCAGTGATAGAGGTCAGACAGCTGGCAAAACACTCACTACCTTATGTTCTAATGATGCCCTTCAGCCAGTTCAGGATGATGTGTTTTAATCCACTCGTTGATCCATGTGACATGTTATCATCCTGTCCCTTCACACTCAATTTCATATTGTGAATATAGATATAAATGCTGCTAACAGCAGTCTTCTTAATGCAGTTAATAAACTCACTTGCAAACTTTATTTGCCCAAGGACCCTTTGGCTTTTTTCTATACTCAAAGGTCTAGAAAAAGTAAGTCTTTAAGTAAAATGCTCAAGCATCTTCATTAGCTGATCTCTTGCCATTTATTGATAGGGGAAGAATGACACATGAAAGGAGGCCAACAGTGGTTCATGGCATTTTAAAGAGAGAGAGAATGATTTTAGTGTCAAAAGAGCAAAGCAATATAAACTTCTGGTTTCCAAATGGGTAATTCGCATAAAACACTGCCCAGGACAGCATCTCCCTTAAATTGTATTGAATTGGTAAATGGCAAGGAACTGCAGTCGAACAGGCTTTTGTCTCACTCATCTCTTCAGCATGTAACTTCTGTATCATTTGTGCAGATGTGAAATAGGTAGGTATTGATGCCAGCCAGCACAAGCAAGATATGAAATGGAAGGGCTGTGTGGCAAGTGTGAAGTGTGTGGCTAGAGAAAGCATTAATGTTCACTGTAAATAAGGCTGTACCTCAGCTTTTCAGAAACAACACACCAAGAGGATGAGCTTGCTTTACAAATGTGTTTTTTCTTCCTGCTGGTGCACTGGAATTGTATGGTTGGAAAGAACTAGTTTGGGGTAAAGAGTCCTTAAAGCCAGCCTACAAACCAAATTGAACGTGATGACAGAAAACAAATCATGGAATAAATCAGAAGAAAATTCTTCCCTGGCTTCCTGGAACAGTCCCTCAGAGGTGAACACGGACAGCTGATTCTTGGAACATCTGTCTTATCAAGGCAGGGTAAATAAATAGGTCCTGTTTGGATTAAACTGTGTCTGAGCAGCAGTTTGTTTATCACAGTGGAACTGTTGAGTTCTGTTGAACAAGGACTGTGAAGTAAAACAGTTCTCATCAAAACACTGAAAAAAGGCATTTTGGAAGAAGAAAGTCAAATGGATAAAGGCTATGTTTTTAGATCCCCAACATATGGTGGAGAAATTTATGTGGATTTGTATCAGTTGCATTTAAAACGCAAACACTATACAATACCTAACCCAGAAATAAGTTACATCAAAGAACTACATATTGTAAAAAAGAAAAGACAGTTTATAAGCAAACTTCACTTCAGATCAAATGTGCAGCTGCAGTTTTCAACTTCAGTGTCGATATCAAAGTCCATTAAGATAGGCACTTCCCAAATCATGGTAGATCAGGTAGAGAGTGAGTCTGGGGTCAAATCTTTGGTCATTTTCTTATGATGTGCTTTTGGTTTTTCTTAACATTTTAGATAAAATTCCTAAATCAAATCTAATAAGTCAATTTGTATCCCCATAGAACAAAAAATAAATAAATGACAAAGTAGATTTGGTTATAGAAAATGAGTCTGACACCTGACTCTGTAAAACCATATACACCTGCTCACAGAAAATTGAGTTCAGCTCTCACATTGTGCAAGAATTTTCCTGTCCTCAAAATTTCATGTTTGCAATCCTTTCTCTTAGAGGGTGTTATAAACTGAATGGGAGTCCCTATTCAGAATTTCTCACTAATTGCTTTTTTTGTTGATAACTGAGTATTGTTCTTCACATGGAGTCAAAATTCATAGGTAAGACTTTTTGCCATTTTGCTGAGTTTCATTTTCTCATTAAACACCTCTTCAAACCTTCGATTCTGTTTTGGAGTGAAATGGTTCTTCCAATCACCAACAGCGCCTAGGAGAGCAGGAGCAGAAAAAGAACAGTGAGGTTAGCAATAAATAGGACAGAAAGTGATTTAAAGGGCCAGTTTTGTCAATATTGAAGTTGGCACAAATTATTAATATATTATTAACCATAGTCTTTTTAGTAGGTCATGATCATGATTAATTGTTTTATTGGTCTGGTGAGACTCTGATGGAAGCAGCTGGATTATCATCCATAAAGGCTGTTAAACCCTTGGTCTCAAACCTGGTTAATGCCAGCAACGCTACTAGTGGTACATGAAGAGCAGGTTTCCTAGGTGGAGTCAGAGCTCTAGGTCATCTCAGCAGAGAGGCGTCTTGCTGCATCTTAGATGTGTGCAGTTAAAGATCTCTGCTTGGGCCCTTTCACAGTCAGTAGAGAAAATATCCTTCTCATCTTAGTCAACACCTAAAACTCATCAGATGAATGGCGCCCCAAAAGCAACAAAAGTATGTTTACATTGAATAAAAAAGACTCATATAAAAGGAGCCCAGAGTTACCTGATAGACTAATCCCACCCTCACAGCTGTTTATAATCTCTAGGGCTTTCTATGAGATGTCCCACTACTTAAGTGGGTAGTTAACTTCTCCTGGGTGACTACGCACACTTGTGTTCAGTAAAGTGTTTCAACTGTTACCTAGTTTGAGCAACCAGGAAATTGTTTTTTGATGGATTTCAACTGGACAATGCTTACAGTTTCCCCTTATGTGCATCCTCTAAAGACCCTGCATCACAAAACTGCTGACTAAAATAGCATTCCAGACAGCAAGGACAGGGAA